TCCAAATCTAGATTCTGGCTTTCAGTCTCTAGTTGCTGCTCAGATCTCCTATGAACAGCTAATCTCAGGAGATTTCTATCTTTTGTAGTTGGGATATTGTGGAAATGCTGGTTGCAAATTTCATCACTGTTGGATTGGAAAGCAAACCCCAGCCTGCCCCTAATCCAGATCCATACTATGAACCAAACAGCTCCTGACTTTGCAGTTCATCCCATAAAGCTAGAGAGAGAGAGGATTATTCATACTAGAAATCTTTGTCTCCACTCACTGGCTAGCCTTCCTTTGCTAGTTACTGTGCCTCCCATCTCTAGCTATCTAGCTGTCTGTCTATCTATCTCGGAGATAGCTAGATAGACAGACAGATGATATGACCTTTCACTCTCTTGATTTCTCTTTATGTCAGTCTATTCCCCACTCCAAAACATATTCACTTTGCATTGAACCGTGCTCTGGAAAGCTGATAGGTTAAGTAACCTGCCATCTGCCCTAGTATCCAAGCCATTCTTGGGTCCCTGGACCGTCCCCGTTCTTCAGCTGATGAATCCGACTAGTATCATTTTTTCCTAACCGTTGTTGCAATTCTGATAGACTGAAGTTTCCATTCTGTGGCAACTGAAATAAGACTTTTCATGCTGCAAGCAGGTAACATTTAGAGCCATCCCCTTGGGTTACTGTATCTGGCATCCCAGCTGGTGCTCTTTTGTGTATGCACCACTCTTCTGAAATGCCAGCTCTGAGCTTAAAAGAGCCAGCAGAAGGCACAACTTACTTGCACAATAATTGATTCCTCATCACTTGTTACAGGTCTTTGTTTCCTTCTCAGATTAGGAAAGATGAGCTGCTAAAGATAACAAGGAAAATACCAAGTACACCCCATTTAGAGATGCTACCAACAAGATTGTCGGTGGCCAGGGATTTCCTGGCCACTCTGGGTTCTGACCTGTTGCAGAGATTTAGCGACAGATGCCTGGCCTTCCCTTATCTGTGCATCACTAGCAGGTGTTCTGAGGAAAGGCCAAATCCAAATCAGATGGGGAGAAGGTTGAGGAATGGAAAGAAGAAACAAAAATCTGCCAGTGAGGATCTGGATTTCTAAATGGGTAGCTGTGCAAGGCTGCCATGTGAAACTGAGCTTGGGAACAGATTGCAGGCAACCATCCTACACTGCCCTCCCTAGGAAATAGACTGATTGGGCCTCTCCCATTTCCATTAATGTATGGATTGGAGGGCATGTCTCAGTTAGATTCTTCTCCAACATGGAGGCATTGGAAGAGCCATATATTCTCCTGCTCCCTCTGTTTTCAATCCACAGGTTTCAAAGCACTTACAAAGTGTTAGTTAAGCCTCAGAACACCCCCATAAAGTGAATTAGTGTCATTATCTTTATTTCACAGATAGAGAAACTGATGGACAAAGGGATGGTGACTTCTATGGCGGGTCAGTAGCAAAGCAAGAATGGGGAAGGCACCCCGAGCCTGTCTTTTCTCTTAGCCACTAAGCTGAGGACTAGACATAATGCTCCAAATGGAGCTATTAGTTAAGTTCTTTAAATAATTAGACAAGCAGATTCTGTTATAAGAGGGGAACTTTTTGGCTTCTTACAAACATAATGCTTTTGGCTTGTTCTGAACCAATATGAAGTATGTATCAAGGCACTGCAAGCTGTGTGTGGGGAGGAGAATTGTTGAGAGGGGGACAGGAGGTTACAGGTCCCGTCACACAGAGGTGCCCCATCATCAGCTTGCAGTGCTGCGAGCATTGATCATGAGGCCTCAGCAGAGCGGTCCAAAACAGTTTGGCCTCCAGGGAAGTATCCCCAAAGGAAAAGGCTGTGCTGCACAAACTCCAAGATCAGCATTCAGGGCCAGACCAATCAGTATGCTCAAAAGACCTTTGGCTTTTGGACAGTGATATGTGACACAAGGCACAGGGCCAATCTGTGGTACATACACAGATGCACAAAAACCTCTTGGAGTAGGAGGTTGTGAGCAATAGGCCGTGAAATGTAAGGGCAGGGCTTCTCTTCAAGTGGTTTGAAGTCTAGTTGGGGAAGAGAATGACTTCAACGCCTGCAATCCCAGCTGAGGGCTCAATGTATGTTTGTATGTTGACACGAGAATCCTGTCACTTCTAATATGCCAGGATGGGTGAAGATCCTACTGTCACTCCAGTGATGTTGTACTACTCTTCCTATCTTCCCAGCTAAGAATTCCTAGTCTGTAGTGATGGCATGATAGGTGCACTGATCTCTGTAGCCCAGAACCAACAGTATTAGGGGTCAGGGCCTAGGGTGGAGGAACCTGCAACACAATGAAGCATTTCAGTTAGACTAGGCCTGGAAAAGATCATTTAGGAAACAAATCAGCAAACTAAGCAAGAAAATGAACCAGGGGGTATAAGCAATCTTTAATTTATGTGATGCCATGAGCTTGAATTCAGTCTTGTTATAAACTGCTGAAACCATGTTGACATCAAAGGACTTTCACTCTTTCTACCATACCTGAACGCGGCCCTCTAAATCTAGCATCCATAGTGAGCAGAAGGTGTTAGTAAAAGGACTAACAAAAGGGAGGGAGTTTCTCTGATTCTTTCCAGGGGGTGCATTGTGATTTGGTGACTAGAGAAGGTGGGGCTAAAAGCTTAAGGCATGGGTTCTCTGTGCAGCTCTTAACAATGGTTCATGGTGTAATTTTAGGCAAGTCACTTAGCATCTCTATGCCTCAGTTTCCTCACAGGTGGAAGGTGACATGCTCCAACTTGGAGAGGTATCAGGGGGCTTCACTGATGTTTGCCAAGTGTCCTGTGAGCCACACCTAGAAAGAGCTAATGATTAGATGTTTTGTTGGGCAAAAAGCAAAGCAGAGACTTGACAGCCTGACAGGGCAATCTGGGCATCTTGAGGACAGGCTTGGATTTAGGCCAGGAGTTCACAGCTAGTGCTTAGTTGGCACTAGTTTACAGTCCAGATGCTTTTCTGAGTCCTTTTCTGTCTTGCTTTCCCTTTTTCACCTAGGAACCCAAAGTTCATTTGCCGAATGATTTGCCCCAACACTTGCTGATCGGCCAGGCTCTTGTATGGCAGATCCTACCTGCCGTCGCCAAGTGAGGTTAGAATAGAGGGTGTCTGTTTTAATGCTTGCTCACTGGCAGCTTCATGCTAATTCTTCCCTCTGTCTCAGCCTCTCACCTTCTCAGCTCCAACAGCTGTAATTAGCTGCTCTGAACACACTCTTGTTGACATTGATCTATGGGGTTATTTAGTCCCTGCTTGGACCATCAATTCACCCAACAGCCTCAATGAGATTCAGGCTTCATTCTTCTTCAATTAGACATTGCTTCACAGGAAGTTTCTGAGGGCAGTGGGCAGAGAGGAAGCCTGTGGCTCAAAGCTGTCTTTGCTTGAGGTTCCCATAGCGACTTCCCTCATTCCAGGCTCTGTGTTTCCATGGAGGAGAGCTCAGGCTCACTTATCTCTGTCTTCTCAAGGTCACACCATGCCAGCTGACCTCTCCTGAGAATGATATGCTGTCATCTCAGCTCAAAGTATCAATCCTTGGTACAAAATGGACACCTCCAGGAAAGGCAACTTGTCATCGCCTGCACTTCCAGTTCAGATGGGATTCTTCCCCTCTTGGTGAAATTCTGATCATATTCGTGGGAGAGGGGATGTTGGACCATCCAATTCTCCCCACCCTCTCATCAGATCAGACTTAATCCCAAGGCCAATTCTGAATAACCCTGGAGATGGAGCTTCCACTCCTTTCTTCAAGAGGCCTCATGTCTCTCTGGGTTGGGATTTTATTTTTTATATTCAACCTGCTTGGTTTAATCCCTTAAATCCTACATCCGGGCTCTTTGAACCATAACAAGCAATTACCCTCTCTCTCCTTAATGCTGATGCCTTTGAATATTCCTAAGCAATAACCACCTCTTCTCTTATTTGTCTCTTTGCCAAGTTACATATATTTCAGTCTTTTAACCTTTCCTTGTAAGTCAGCCACTCAGAATTCAAACATTTCTTCATCTTTATTATGTACCGCTGAGCACCCTCCAATTTAGCCATATCTCTCACGCTGAAGCACCAGATGGGGTCCTTCCAGAGCCACCTCCCCTCTCCCTGATATGATGCCTCTGAGATGAAGGTGCCAAAAATAAAACACTCCTAGGTGACCAGGGCTATATAGAGAGGAAGTATTTTCTCCCTGCCCTCTGACCCTGATGCCTCTAGAATTGAAGTGTCCTTGCTAGAATGCAGTCATCCTAGCTACAGCATGACCACAGACATACAAAAAGAGGTTATCATCACCTCTCTGCTCTTCTGTGTGTGAAGACCGAAATTCATGGCTGTTTTTAGCTTCAGAAGAGCGAGAGTTACTTCAGCCCACTATTTCAGTGCCGAGACTGGAGATGCTATGACTAGAGCTGTTCAAATAATTGATTTTTTTGGTTTGCTGACTACACTGAAAAATGAGGGAGAAAATTCATTTCAGTTTGACCCGATGCGACATTTTTTTTGCATTTTTGTCTGAAACAAAAACTCAGAGGAAAATCTTTCAGGTTGACCACAACAATTTATTTGACAGAAAACAAGAGCCTTTTTTTTTTCATTTGGGGGCTTTGAACCATTTTTAAAATTTAAAAATAAGTTTTGGAAGGAATTGTTTGGAAAATGTCAAATAAAATTATTTACTTTTCTGAAATTGTTTCAAAGTTTAAAAAATTTTTTTTGGCTGAAACCATTTGCATTTGATGCATATTCACACATAATTTGGGTTGCTCTAAATATGTAGGTTGGGGTGAAAAAATAGTTTTGCATGGGAAGTTATGGCAAACCGTAGCTGTGACTATCTTGGAGACCAACAGACCTGCCCCCCTGCAGGTTCTCATCCCATCTGTCTAACATAAGGTCCCTCATATCCCAATTTTACAAGAACTGTTTGGGACACTGCAAGCTGATGGAGACTGACCTGTGACTCCAGTGTCTGGTTTCTTTCTGGCAGGCTCCTTGAATCTTTTAGTTCGCGTAAAGAACAAACGGGCCATTGACACCCAAGTATGGTCACTCAGTGGGAACAGAGGAAACAAGTGGCAGCAAGTACACGTCCCCATCAATCCTCCAGGACCCTTTCAGGTAAGCAAGCACCAAAGACACTGAGCCTAGCTGCACACTGTGGCCATCTACCCTGTTGTACAGCCACTGGATATGTAAGGTAGAGGGATAGCACATAGCCGTTGAGGAAGGGATTCTGTTACAAGGTCACAGGTGAGAAGTATGTGGGAAGTGTGAAACACCAACCTGTTTCCTCCCTAAAACCATCAAACTCCGTCATTCAACAGCATTGATTCGTTACTGTCATTTTGCTGATGAGCCCTAGAAACCAGTCTGCAATTGTAGGCTTATTTTTGTGTGTCCAAGATCATTGCCAGTTACTGTATGTTATGGATGTGATGCTTGCGAGCACAGGGCTCCAAAATGCATGCAAATAACCATGGTACCATGTATTTTGGAGCACGTACTTGGGTTTATTGTTGGAGGATTGTTCGTGAGTGGTGAGCTAGCCACTTGCAGGTTTTATTATGTAGTTACTTCTGACCACAGGCAGAGCTGACCTGAGCAGGGTGCGGGGCCTGGGGCAAATCAACCAATGCAGAGTCCCACCCCTGCTCTGCTCTGCAGGGCCCCCCAGAGCACGGGGCCTGGGGCGGTCACCCCAATTCACACCGCCCCAGGATGGCCCTGACCACAGGGACACCCAGCAATTTGGTATGGTAGGAAATTGTTATTTTTAATTCTAAGCCCTGCACACTAGTTTCTTGTTGTAATTGTGCTGGTAAGGTCTGGATGTGAGCACTTTGGCTAGTTGTTGTGTGCTTGCGAAATGCCTAGTACACTTTTGGGTGCTATAAAATAATAAACAAGGACTTAGTTACTCGTGTGAGTACTGTTCAGTGGCAGCTGATTTGTTATTCCAGAATTCTTAATGAAAGCTGAGTTATAGCCATTAATTTGTTATTCTGCAGTTGCTGGTGAGTACTATACAGTGCTTCTTGGATTGGTGTCATAGGCTGGTAGGCTCAGGGACTGGACACACTGGTTTGTTCCTGTAGAGCTGCTTCTGGGCTATTCACATACATATAGCGATGAGTAGCATTGAAGCATGTAGATACAGTTGTTTTTAGGATGCCCCTGGATGTTATTTTTGTAGGATATCCTACACTGGCAGGGCCAGGACGTACTGCTTTGTTATTTTAGAGTGACCTCTGAAAGCTACATCAGACAGTTGGACACAAGTTTGTCCCTATATACATTTGCTACTGTCAGTGAAGGTGAGCATTAGTTACTGTGGGGGAGCATGCAGGGATGGGCATATGTTCACCATTACTGGGGAAGGGAAAGCTGGCAGGGACATGGGTGTGCGTCTAGGGTGGAGGACAGGGGAGAACACTGCGAGGGGGGAGGAGGGGAGCATTGATGACATTTTACTGTCACAGGGAGCCCACAGAGGTGGGGGTGGAGTGGGTTTGCTGTCACAAGCAGGGGATGCTACTCAAACCCTTGTCTTTGTCCTCTAAATGGTGCCCATCCACCAGAGTCTAAGCATCTGCCACAGTGCTGAGAGGGGAGCACAGACTGTGGCTCTCTCCTGGGACTGCTGCCGCCAGCGGTCAGTGTGTAGGGCCAGAGGCTGGCCTTTACCCCCTGCTCCTTAGCAAGGAGGAGTGAGAGCTAGGGCCAGTTGTTCCCTCAGCCCCGAGAGCAGGCAGTGATTGAGCTTCTGCCCCTGGGCTTGCAGGCAGAGTTTGGTAACCATGGGAACTGCAGAGGGATTCAGGTTGATGAAGCTGTAACTGTCAGGTTCGGAGAAGGAAGGAGCTAGTCTCTGCATGCATCCTGATGCGAGAGGGTGCAGGGAGGAGGGGGGAGAGACCTCAGGCCTCCGCACGTGGGGCTGGAGATATTCTAGCAGTGGAGAGGGGAATTGTCTGCCTCCTGCCAGTGCAGGGTAGAGGGTTGTCTGGTGCAACTCTGTCCCCTTGACCCCCATGTTTGGGGGGAGAGACACTGTCCTGCGCAGAAGCATTGATGTGAATGGCAGTCTAGGTTGGTGGAGGTGCGTCAAGGCAACAGGCAAGAGGAAGCCCACAGGGGAGCAGCTAGCGGGGTTGGGGGAAGTCAAGGACAGCCAGGCAGCTGGGGGAGAAGAAACAGGAGATCGAGGGCTAGGTTCCCCCTTCAGGGAGGCAGCCAGTGGCTGTGGAGAATAGGAACTGCTCAGGGGACTTGCCAGGGGCTTACAGCATTGTAGAAGCCTATAGTAGGGTTGGCTAAGGGTTGCAGGGGAGAAGGATCCCCCTTCCCGGGGGCGGCAAGTGTGTTGGCTCTTTGTATCTATAGACAGGGCACCTTGTGTCCTACCCATTCCCTCCTGCCAATCTGCCTTGGGAGCATTTGGCACCCTCGTGCTCTCTCACTGCTTAGTGTCTCTACCCACAGATCATCTTCGAAGGTGTCCGTGGCACAAACTACGAGGGAGATATTGCCATTGATGATGTCACTCTGAAAAAAGGGGACTGTCCAAGGAAGCCAATTGGCCCGAATAAGGGTGAGTGTGTGAGCAGGCTTGAGGGTGTGTACACATGTGCATCAGGGGAGGGGCTGCCAAAGGAAGAGTGTGTGTGTGTGCCGTGGCATCTGATGGGTTGGTATGACTGCGTCAATGAGTGGAGGAGGGGTGCATGTTGTGCAGGGTTGTAACCAGGTTGCGTGATTGTTCTCCCCTGCTCATGGGGTGTGTATCTGTGACAGGTTTGTATGGATGCATTTCTTGGAGGGTTATACGTGGTATGCACTTCTGCAATGGAAGAGGTGGGGGTGGGATTTTTTTCAGCAGTGTTAGATGTTTTCTGCATGTCTGCAGGGGTATGATGAGTTGGAGGGTATACAGAGTTGTTGGTCGGGTTTGTAGTGACCATTGGGTGTTCTCAGTGTTGTCATTGCTGTTAGCTGCAAGGCCAACAGTGAGCTTTCTGGGGAAGGACTTGGCTTATTCCTAAGTGCTTGAGAGTACATTTATAAAAGAAAATCTTTTCCACAGAAAAGGAGAATGACTACCTGCTGTGTAGGCAACAGCAGGGGCATTGCAAAGATCTCATTGACATTATTGTTGTGTTGCTCTGAACCTCAAACCCCTAACCTTGCAGTGAGCAACCACAGGTTAACATGACCCTAAATTAGGGGTTGGCAACCTATGGCCTGTGGACCAGATCTGACCTGTGGAACCTTGAATCCAGTCTATGGGCTTGAGATTTCGGCAGCATACAGCAGGAGGAAGGTGCCTTCTGCTGGCATTCTCCCCTGCCATCGAGGGGATGAATTTCTGCTATGGGCGCTCACTCTATGCCTCCATGGGGAGAAGCGCCAGCTGCAGGCACCCTCCCATGCTACTGGGGAGGCAAGCAGTGGCAGCAGCTGGTCCTAGCACCCACCTTCCCACTTGCCTCTGACCCAGGGTGGGTCACTCTAGCCCACAACCAGAAAGAGCTAGAGAGAAGACTGCGAGGATAATTACAGAGGATGGATATGGGCATTTCTCTGTGGTTGTAGCGGACAGGACTAGGAGCAATGGCCTCAAGCTTCAGTAGAGGAAATTTAGGTTGGACGTTAGGGGAAACTTTCTGACTATGAGGGTGGTCAAGCTCTGGAACCTATACACATTGTGAAATCTCCATCCCTGCAGATTCTCAGATGTAGATTAGACAGACACTTGTCTGGAACAGTTTAGTCGGGGATGATCCCACCTTGAGCATGAGGCTGGACTAGATGACCTTGTGAGGTCCCTTCCAACGCTAATTTCCTGTGATCCTATGATCCCAAGGTTGCCTACTCCATCCTTGAGAATCAGGATCCATTATCACACTTCCTTCGCTCCTTTTCATGTCCTTATAACAAGGTCTTTAGCAGAATTTGCAGATTCATTGGAATCTGACATGGCTGTGCCATAAGCCCTTCTGCTATGGTCTTCCATTATCACCAGCCATTCAGTGGCTCCCTGCCAGCCATTGTTCTCTACACTAATATGCTGAGCTTACAGCCAGGGTGTTGGGCAGTAGCAAGACTTTTACGGTGCTGCAGATATCAGTGAAACCAACTAATCCTAGTCATTTGGGCTTGGGAAGGGACAAATCTTCTCTGACCCTTTAATAGCCTCTATGGGCACATCCAGACGAGTGCAGCCATATGGTATGTGGTGCCACAAACACACCTGCAGCGCCACATACCGCACAGTCTGGTGTTCTGTGCACTGCAAGGGGCACTGCCCAAGTGTGCACTGCTCCTGTTTCTTTTTCCGCAGGTTATTTTGACCCCAGATATCCCCGGGGAACCAAACATCCATGCTTGTCTGGATGCACCCTATCTCTAAATCATTATTTCTTCAGGAGCAGGGTTCTGTTTCTCAAGTCCTCTGGTAACGGACAGGCAGGCACTCCCATTCCCTTGCCTAGTCCATCAGAACTGAGAGCATCAACCAAGCTGAGAATCCTTGAGCTCTGAGATTGAATTTAGCTAGCTGTGTTGGGTCTCTTTCTAGTCTACCACCTGTTCCCTGAAGTGTCTACCTGTAAGGGTCCCAAGCAGTGATGTTCCTACTTCTTCCTTGAGGAGATGACTCCCCAGCTTAAAGCATTTTACTATCAGGAAATACAACAGTCAGCCTACTATTTCTTTGGCTTTATTTTATCCCATTCCCCTTCTTTATACAGATCCCATGCTGAATCATTTCTCATTCCTTATCATTTACACCCTTCATACATGGATCTCAAGGTGAAACTCATCCTTCAGCTGTTGCCTTGGCCAGAAAGACAGATTTAGTTCTTTCAGCATCATGAGTCGGTCCCTCTAGCCCCACCACGTTTGTAGCTGCTCTTTTCTGAGCCTTTTTCCCTTTTGCCCATATCTTTCTGTTGCTAGAGGCCTAAAAAAGGAAAGCTTCCCTCCCTGCTCTGGGATGGGCAACCCAGTAACATCCATCCAGGTCATTTGAATGCCTTGGTTCCTCTGGAGAAGACTGGTAATTTCTGTTTCTCTTCTGTCTTTGAGCAGAAACACCAGTATGTACATGCCTTGTCCTGACTGTAGCCTTGGCTAGCTTCTCAGGGGAATACAAAAGGGAGCAAGACAGCTGGTATCCTGTGCATCTAGGGCTGATTGGGAATTTTTCAAGGAAGCATTTTTTTCGTGGATAATTACTGAGAGCTTTTTATGGGAAAGGGTTTGTTCCATCACATTTCTCAAATCAAAACATTTGAGAGAAAATAATTTCCAAATTGTCAAAATAAACCATCTGGATATCTGTTTGTTAATGAAACATTTGTGTGTGTGGTTCAAAGCAAGTTTTCAAGGCAAATTTCAAGCTCATTAGAATAAAAAAAAAAGAGAAAGCGAGAAATTTTCAACCTCAACAGGAAATATTTACAAGTGATTAAAACAAAATGTTCTAATTGACTGGATTTGAGTTTTTCCAGCTTTTTAGTTCATAACAGAATTCAAGATTCTGACTTTCTTGCTCCTGTTTTGGATGACAAGACATTTTTGAAATAATGGCAAAAAATTCCTTGGATTTCCCACAAGCTCTACAGATGCCCCTGTTGTTTCCTGTGGTACTGGCTGGCACTGACTGACTTATTTTATGGGGTCTGTCTTAACTAATCTCCCTTTCTCTCTCTCTCTTTGATTCATAGCGGTTGCCCTTCCAGGGAATGGTGTCCCAACCCTGCACAGGTCTTCTCTCTGTGGGCCATTGACTTTCTTTCTTTATGTGCTATTCAGATGATGGCAAGCAAGCGTCCGGGTCT